ACCAATATATCACAAATCACAAATTTCTAAATTCCCCAAAGAACAAATTCCCAAATTTTTCAGTTCACAAATTCCACAATTAACAAATTTTCAAATCCCTAAATTTACCAATTGACCAATTCACAATTTTCCTAAAGGTGCGTTTGATTGTAAGGGTGGAAAAAAAATATTTTTCAGGGAAAAGATTTGCCTAGAAAATGTTTTGCAAGGAAAATGATTTCAAGTGTGTTTGATTGGTATAATTTTCCACCCGAAAATTTTTTAAATTTTCTATTTATTTGGCTTTGTTTTACATGGAATTGTCCATTAAAGTGATATTTTTTTTTTCCACAATTGGTTATAAAATTTGTTTCCATTGCCAAAAAGAAAAAAAATTGCTACCTAAAAAATCATTTTTTCATCAAAGTTTAGTATTCGTTGGATTTTGTTTTACATGAAAATTGTCCATTAAAGTGAAAAAAAATTTACAATTGGTTATGGAATTTGTTTCCATTGCAAAAAAATAATTGAGCAGCTGGCTGGAAAGGTGGGAAAATATTTTCATGAAAAACATGGAAAATGCTGACGTGGCGGATGGGGTGGGAAAATATTTTTCGTGGAAAATTTAGGCTGTCAAACAGCGCAAAAGATGGAAAATGGAAAAAAATTTCCTAGTTCCCTGAAAAATTTCGTCTATCAAACAGGGCCTCATTCAAAAATTCACAAAATTTTCCACTTCATAAATTAGTCAAAGAAAAATATTGAAATAAAATAAAATAATACTTGAGAGGTTTTGAAATCGATGATTACTAGAACAAACAATTAGGGCTGGATAATATTCTCGAACCGAACTGAGCGATTCGGTTCGATTCTTCTTAAATTAAATACCCGAATGGATAATCAAAATTGAGAATCGATGTGTTTAGTTCGATTATCGGTTCTAGTCTAAGAACTCGAGAATCAAATATTCCTATTTTTTATATTAAAGATGCTAAAAAATTTAATTTTTTTCTAAATAAATTTGTCAACTAGTTAATTGAGCCTAAAAGTACCATTTTCCCTCTCATTTGACAACTAATTAATTGAGCCCAAAATATCGTTTTTCTGTTTTCAACCCAAACCCAACTTTGTAATTCAAATTTCAAAAAATAAAAATTGAATGACCTAAGTTTTTTTCAATCATTCTGCCGAACTACGATATTTTGTAAGAGTTAAAATTGAATATGTCATTAAGGGTCCATTTGATTAGCAAAAATGGAAAGGCTTTCCAATTCCATGTAAGTTAGAAAATAAAAACTCAAATATCCCATAGGCCATAGGACTGCACTTTACATGAAATTGGCCAAAAAAAAAAAAGTTTAAAGTGGTTGTACCTTGGAATTCGAATTTCATTTTCACTTTCGTATCAAACAGCCAAAATAGAAATTGAATTTCTCGGATGTGACATTTTTCATGAAATTTAAATAAATCAAACGTACCCTAATTGAATTAACATAGTGTTGTTGTAAATATTAAAAATTTAATTATGTTACAAACCGAATGGAACCGAAAGAAATTGAATCAGTTCGATTCCATAATTAAATTTGAACTCGACGATTCCACTTATTAAATACCCGAAAATTCTGCTTTGATTCGATTCTATTTATAACCGAATCAAATCAAACTATGTCGAGCCATGCCAATCATCTTTTCTTTTCTTTAAATCAAATTTCACAAATGTAATTAATGTAACTATAAAATTTAAACTTCAAATAA